CATGAAAAATAGAACACATTTAGAGTCAACTTCATCAATAGAGTAGAGGACAGTAAGGAAGCTGATCTTTACCTAACCACTATGGATTGTGGGTATATTATTACCTCATTATGCATCTTTAATATATTACATCTGAGAAAAAGCAGCAATCTTAGTGGGGTCAGACAGAAGTTGCCATTGTGCTTAAGTCTCCCTGTCCCATAGTCCCTGAAGCTGTCCCTTAATACATGGACATGGATATGTCTCTGGAGACTTTAGTAGGTGAAATTTACTATTACCAAAAAAGTGAGATAGCTGAAGCATTTGCCAAATTCCAAATGTAATGAGAGTGATAGACGAGCTACTCTGGGCAAGAACAATTTACCATCAAGGTCATAAAAAAATAGAAAAGTTAATTTCTCACGAAAGGAAAGAAAGTAGTTTCAGAGTCTGTTGAGTCCCAGTTGTGGATGTACATTTGTTTGCTGATGAATATGACACCCTGCTGTGTCTAAAAGTGTGGGGAGCGGAGAAGATAAAGACAACAACTTCCTCAGGGCCATACAGGAAGTATTGAATAAGCCCTCCCACAGGATGAACATGCAGGGTCTGCCCCAATTGCTACACTTAATGGGCTTAACTGGGCAGTGTTGTAAATAACAAGGAATACAAGTCGGAACTAAACTACTGCTGTAAGCGTCGGCTTTGGCTGACCTGCAGAGAATGTCCAGGCTGCAGAGACCAGCCAATAAATCCACAAGAGACTGTGGACAGGGGACATCCTCAGACACAAAGGTGCTGCTCACCTGAGAAAACCACAGACGTCTTCCTCTGTATCATTCTTTTTGAAACATAAGTTTATTCTATTCTACTTTTAGCAAAGGGCTGTGTTAAGGTATTGAATCTGGCATTTACTATAAGCGCACTAAAGGTAGAAAGGATATTCCCAATGTTACCATAGTTTGCTGTGAATGTCAGCAAAATTGAAATGATTATGTTTTGTCCAATAGTGTATTGGTAATTGCAAAATTCACTTGCTAGAGGGATGTTACAGTAAAACCTAGTTTCACATCTGAGTTAATCTCACTCAAATTCCCAAGACTGTAGGTTTGTAAGCATTGTGGAAACTAACATGCTATCATGACATGACTGTACAAAATCCCTGAGGGTTGTTACTTAAATAAATAAATTCTTTTATTACAAAACAATTAAAAAAAAACATGCTGCAAATATTGTAATAGATTTTGTGTCTACATCCTACTTTTGTCTTGTTGCAGCCATGATACAAAACATATACATGGTTTTACATCTCTAGCTGTCACACAGGTAAATCATTAGGAATATCAATTCAGTCTGAATCATCACTGTTAGGTAGGATTAGACATGATGGGGGGTCTGACCCTACATATGTCTGGAACCATTTGCTACCCACAAGAAAAAACAAAAAATATTTAAAGTGAAATTTCACTTTTTCATTTTTGGCACGCACACCTCAGACAACAGTACAAGTCAACTAATATTAGTCAGATCAATATTAGCTGCCTGGTGGATTCCACTTGTCTCAATATGTATAGTTAAAACAAAAGGCATGAAACAATTTCCAGGTTAAAAAAAAAGAAATTCAATTTTCAAGGGATAAAAAATTGAAAATAAGGGAGTAGTATTGATTGTGTATCTCAGATGATTCATCTCCACTAAATATTCACAAAATGTGGCAATCACTTCTTTTCTTTTACTGAAGTTAGCATGCTAGCCAGCTAGTCCCGGCCCAGTCAGACTGTCTTGTCACTTTCCAATACCAAGTCACTGTAGCTCCCAGGCTTCCCTGAAGAAGTAGCACTGCTCAGAGTGTATTATAATCTATTGTCTTGTGAAAGTAAGTATGGCTGAAACTCTTGCCAAGACTGGTAAGCGAACCGCTGTTAATGCTAACGCTGGCTATGCAGCAATAACAAAACTTACAAAATAACTCCTTTAAAAGAATAGTAATTTTGGGAGATTCCCTTATTCACCTTCTTGCTGTGAGTTTGATGAGAAGATCAATACCACTGTCATGTCTGTATGCTAAATATGAAGCTGGAATCAGCAGCCTGTTAGCTTAGCTCTGCATGAAGACTGGAAAAAGAAGGAAACCATTTAAGGGGGATTATACACAGCACTATTCCAGTCGAGGAATAGTCCAGCACATAACCCCCATAATATGCAGAATTATCATTTTTACACTTGGGTGTTTGCATAGATCAAAAAACATGAAACATAACAGATGAATCAGTGACCTTAAGAGGTGCTGTAAGATGAATTCTGTTACTTTTCGACACAGCCAGGCTAGATGTTTCCAACTATTTCCACTTTTTATGCTAAGCTAAGATAACTGCTGGCATTAGCTTCATATTTACTGGACGTGAGAGTAACATCAGTGTACTTCCCATTTGACACTATTCCTTTAAGACAGATAAAACCTAATAACTTGTTGCACTGAAGCATCAGATGAGCACAGGTACAGCACCGGGTACATACAGAGAAAATAACAGAATCACTGTTTTCAGTTAGATCTGTATTTACGCAGCCTAATACCAGCATCATTGACCATCACTGTCCAAATTTTATAGGGGAAAATACTTTTAAACTACACTTAATGACAATAGTCATGAAAAGTCATAGTTAAGTCTTTTCAGGGTATTTACAAAGTGTCCATGCCAGCAGGGCAGGTGTGGTGGGCGGTGTAAGTCCTCTCATGATGGCCTGGTCCGAAGAGAGCTCATCCTGAGCACAGTGAGCTCAGCTACATCTGCATCCTGCATCTCCACCTCTTGCTGGCAGCTTTCTCTGATTACATACACTACGAGACCCACACAGATGAAAATGAGGAGGACTATGCCTATAACCTGGGGTGCAAAAGAGTGAAGCAACACTTGGTTTAGTAGATATCAACAGAGGACGTGTATTTTTGGTTAACAAAGACTACTAACAAAGCTATATTAATTCTTTTCAAAGGGAATTCGTTTGGCATTTTGGATATATACTCTACAGTGCACAGTCTGAGGTGGAGGTGTTTCCACTCCTCTCATCCCACATAATCCTCTGTAAACTAGAAAAATATTAAACTCACCTGAGAAAAAACAAACAGCTGCTGCGAGCGGAGCATTAGTTCTTGTGGGGTGACATCTCCCTCACTAATTGGCTCACACCACTTCTGCGGAGCTGCCTTGTCAACAAGTACAAATCTACCCTCCCAGTCTGTCATAGCACAAGCAAAGTATTGGCCATCGAGGAACAACAAAATCAGCCACACGATAGCAGGAACGAAACTGGAGAGGGAAACAGTTTTCCTGCACCACGTATCACATCTGCATCCTTGAATGATTAGCATCAAGGTGAAGGCCATGACGGCAGGAATGATGAAGAATGCTGATGAAAACACTCCGTTCCATGTAGGGTTGCAAGGACACTCAAACTCCAGCTCCACCAGCTTCTCTAGTCCCATGAGGATAAAGCCAAAAGCCACATTTGATACCAGAGGACTGTTGCTAAGTTCATTTTTCAGCCTGGTAAGCCATTGTTGTCTACTTTCCATACTAGATTGACCGAAAAATGAAGACAATCGTTGTAAAAAGCCCAAAAGAGGGTCCACCGTTGTGAACACATTGGCAACAGCTAAGTGATGCGTAATTAACTCATCCAGGGGTAAGTTTTCCCCTCGGGCAAAATGCCACACTTCCACTCTGATTGGTTTTGAACAAAGGAGGGTGTGCCGTCTGCTCTGACATTTCTCTGGCTGATTGGTCTGTGTGAGGTTTCAGGTGGGGTTACATTTTAAATGCGGTCTCCCATGGACAAACTGGAGGGAGGGCTGTAAAGTGGAGGGAAGTTTGTTCTGCAGTTTAGCACAGACTGGCCCTCTGCAGTAGTTCAGCAAAAAACAAATGCATGGAGGTGTTCGCACAAATCAAAGGGTAAGCCTTTACATTGAATAATCAAGTTACACGCCCAAATTTACACTACAACTAAATAAAAGCAGGAACTGTTACAGGTAAAAGATATTTAGTGAAAGAAATGTCACATAATTTACCTATTTTATTTAACCTCTTAAAACTGCTCGTCTATTTTGAAATGTATCATGTGTTCAGGTGTTTTTCCTTCTTTTTTTGAATTGTGTGAAATAAAAAAAAAAAGAGATGCATTCAGACTCTTGCCAGTTTACCTCAACTGGCCACATGAGGGCGCCCATGCAGCAGCACAGATAAAAGATAGAGCGGATTACAGGAGGCCATGTTGAACTTTGAAGGGGATGTGGTACATACAGCTTGAGAACACCCAGGCCACTGATGTGATGACATAATTTATAAATGACCTCAGTGAGCTCAAGAGCATCACCATAATCTCCTCACAGTAAAACCTGACAAGAGCGAGTATTGAGGCACTGTGAAACAGGCTTGGAGACACAGGATGTGACTGGTGAAAACTCTGGCAGGATTGCCTTCAGTTCATTTGCATATTAACCCTTGCATTTTTTTCTTAATTGCAACCACTCATGTCTTAATTTTAAAGACATCTGTCACTTGCTCTGCATAGTTGTATGCTGGTGTAAACCAGCTGGCAATCTATAGGTTGCATTAGTATTGCTGAAAGAGCGGCTAAACAGGGTTATGAAATTATACAGCTAGATTATTCCTGGAGTCAGGAAATAGTGAATGAGCAGGAACACCTTCCTCCAAATGGCAGGAGATGGAAATGTGGACCTGTCATCTCATAATAAAATTTATAAAAAATTGAAGCTTATCTGCAGATAAGGAAATGAAGGCTGAGGAGCTACATTGTAACTGCCTGAGTTCACAAACAACATTACATCCGTGTTAAGTGTGTGTGTGTGTGTGTGTGTGTGTGTGTGTGTGTGTGTGTGTGTGTGTGTGTGTGTGTGTGTGTGTGTGTGTGTGTGTGTGTGTGTGTCAGCGTGTCTCTCTGTGTACATGTGTGTTTATCCACGGTCATGAGCGCATAGGGCACGCGCAGCTTGTCGTTGCTGCCGTTGGTGTCCTACCAGCATCTGTTCCTCTCTTTTTTTTTTGGTATTAAAAATAGACCGGTGCTGATAACAGACTTATGTTTCGGCTACATCACTTCCCTTCGGGAATAATTTGTGCGCCACTTTCATTTTAATCACCGAACCGTGAGCGTGAGAGCGCAAATGCGCATCGGTCTGCGCATCTTTGAATCTTCACAACTACACTGTGGACAATCTCCCTGACATCCAAAGACCTCTCCTCCGCAATCCGACGAGGCTTCTTCACCGCCTATGGCTGCACATCGGCATCCCTGAGCCGCTGGCCTCGTCCCCGGACCCTTCACCCGTCGCTGTCCTTTTAAGGTCTTTGAATCTGGGAGACATTTTTTTTTTTTTTCAAATAATCCTCGGCTGCTTATTTTTAAAGCACCCGGTGCTATGCTGGGCCCATCTCTCTAGATCCTGTGATCAATACACGAGCTCTCCTCCCACATTCGTCCGACCGAGACCCTGGTACTCTCACCGAGAGACCCAACAATGCATCCTAACGCAGTGATGCTGCTGGCGGTGGCCCTTTTAGGGAACTTGATGCTGCCTTTCATCTCGGCTCAAAACGGTAAGAAAGCAGATTTGACCATGGCATAATTGTAAACATCGCGTTGAGGGAAAGTGACTTGACTTGTGTGAGGACGCCCGAGCGATATGTTGCCACAGAGGATTTTGAGAATGACTGCGATAAAGCCTCTACTACACTGTAGTTTCACGCATCTCGACAAGAAGGCCAGAGTTAGACACCAACAAATCTGATTCAGTCACTGACCACACAGTCAAACCTTTACGGAGCTTTAACCAGAGAAAACAGAAGGAAAACTGACGTTGTTGTGACATCTTTTTTTTCTTTTTTTTTTGCAAGGTTATCTCATGTAATGCCAACCACTGTACTATAGTGTAGATGCGACTGAATTAACTGTCACTGTTGGGCAAATAGAATGTGTTGTCAAATGTGTTTTAAAACAGGCAAAGTGCGTTGTTGCTGGGAGCAAAACTGGGGCTTGTACCTTCATGGAATTAGTTGTGAATATTTACGTACAGTCTATGGGTAGCCTGGGGCTGTCAGTGTGCAGTTTGTTTAGTCAAAGGGGGTTAGGGAGCAGAGTATGTCAAGCAAGACTAACCTGCTCTGGATGCTGATGAAGTATTGTCAACACACACAAGCACAGACTAAAGTCTCGCCCAGTGTGTGTTTGAAATACTGTAAATTCCAGGCCCTTCTGTCTCACAGGTGTTGGACTTCTGCATCTGTTCATAGAGAAAACTGCTTCCCTATTATGCCACATTTCCACTAATGCCATAGTAAGTGTGGGCCTTACTTTTTTGCCTAACTTTGGTTATTGCAAACCTAAATACAAAATTAACTTCCTTATGTCCTTATCTGATGTTCAGTGTTTGAGCATCAGATGTTTCTTCTCTGCAAGTATCCAGATAGAGTGCATAAGACATTTGGTTGTCAGACATTCAGAGCTGCAAAGCATGTTCATTTGCGAGTTTAATTTCAAAAGTTCACTGTGCAGTAATCACAATAAAAACAATTTGATGTGGTTTAAATAAATGTCAGCAGCAACATGCTGTTGGGTGTTCCAGGCTGTCCTCTTCTGCTACAGCATGTCCTGTTATCAAATTCTGTTGAATCACATCACCCAGAGGGGCACACAAATCAGCAGACATTCATGAAATGAAAGTGAATTTTTTTTTCTCCAATTTTTAAAAGAACCTCAATAGCTTCCGTGAGCAACCCCGACAAGTCGGTGCTTTAGTATGCAAATGGCCCAGTCTATTTCAGTTTTTGTTAACAAAGTAATCATTGCCTTTCTTTTCAGAAGCTGCTATACCCACATGTCAAGGCCTCGTGTTGACAAATCAACGTCACTGACATCATCTAATCGCCTTTCAAAAAAATAAAATAAAAATGAGATAAGGCAGAGAATTACTCCGCATACTTATAATTTTAATGCTTAATGTTCACTTCGTCTTTTCTGTGGGATAATCAGACACCCACTGTGCAAAACTTAATAAGACATGTATTTTGATGATAGGATGAGAAGGTTGTGAAAAACTTCACTCCACCACTGTCCTACCTTAAGGATTTAATTTAGCAAGTATTTGAAATGGAGAATGCTCAACACTATTTGAGTCTCAACAACTCTAGTGTAATTAATTACTACACTTTTTTGATTAATGCTAATATGCAAAGCACAGTGCATAGTTATTGAAATGTAGATGATACTACAAGAAATCACAAAATCAGCCTAGATCTTCAGCATGTGAGGAGATAAAAAAAGGAAACTTAAATGCCACAGGAATTATATAACAAAATATTATCCCTCGAATTCCTTTCTTTCTTCTTTGTTAATGTCTCAGAGGTGCTTAAAGTGTGTGCACACACAGTGAGGCGCTCTCTCAACTTGCTAGCTGGAAAAAATCAAACATCCAATAATCCCTCTATTGTATGATAATGTCCAAGCAAAGGCATTCCAAGCATTTCCTGTGGTCTCTGCGCTGTGTTAGCTCCCACTCACTGAGGCCCAGTTCACTCCACAGAAACACACACACACACACACACACACACACACACACACACACCCTTGTTGTACTATATTCATAGGTACCCATTGCTAACATTATGCACTCCCTAGCTCCTTACAGTAACCTTAACCATCACAAATGGATGCCTAACCCCCTAACCTAAAACCAAGCCTTAACCTTCAAACAGCCACTTAAACATGTGGCGTCCAGTATTTTGGTTCCAAACAAAGTATAGTGGGCTTCCGGTTTTTGGACCCCACGAATATTGTAAATGTACACATATACACTGTGTATATATTTGTGTATATATATATATATATATATTTACAGTATATACGCAGTCAGGGTTCAGTGGGATATCAGTGCGTTATCTGTTGTATACTGTATGCAGAGATCCTAAATTCATAGCAAGTATATAGATGCATTTCATTTCCAGTAAATAGACCCTACTTTTATTACATGTTTGACCACAGCTGTATTAAGCTACAGTTAGTTTAACACTGAAGGTAATATTCTGAGATTTACTCACATTTGCATGCATCCAAAAGCCATTTCATTTCTCTCTCACAGTTCAGATTAAGGGTAATCGGTGCATGGCTTCTTATGCAATCCTAGATTTTCCTGTGATATTACAGAGTTCAGGGAGTGACGTAGGGAGAATAATAATTATAAGTGCAAGAGACGATCTGGGAAGCAGAGGGAATTCATGCCATTACTCCCTCGCGTTTAGGGAAAAGTAGGTCTACTATAGGTGCCTAGTTTCTGCGACAGATATTTGGAGGACTGTAAATAGCATCCGTCCATTCTGCCTCGTTTCTATTTTTACCACCAAGCCACAGCACTGAGAACTGTGGCTTTAAGGTCCTTTTGTGAAAGTGAATCCATTAACTCTTAATGGACGGCCTCCTTGTGCACAGCTGCACAGCTGCACAGCCTTCTAAAGACTCGCTTAGGTGGCTGTGAATCATTTAAGCTGAGAGATGATGTGATCTTTATGCAAAGAATATAAAGGCTGTTGAGAAGGTGGCTGTGGCTGACCTGAAGAAGTGCCTCTGTGTCTTACATAATTTCCCAATACAAAGCATGTAGCCTGCTTCTGCTGCCAACTCTGTTGCTGTATTATCACTGCTTTTGTGAGCCCAAACACACAGCTCATGTCAAGATAGCCTCTAGAATCATGAGCTGATATAATGACTTTCATGTTAAAAATGAACCATTTTACGTTTGTTTTCTTTCATTTAACTGGTTCCTTATGACCACTAGGCACGCACAACAGCAAAGATTAGTTCCTCCAAAGGTTACACTATCGAAGTATAAAGACATGATGTAGAGAAAGCTATACATGTATTGCAATGTATGCTGCAGACCAACAGCATTTAACAGCTATGTACCATTCAATCAATAGACCAACATGATCCAGCAGCTTGTCCATAATCACATTACTGTCCCGGCTGTGGAGAAAGTTACATTCGTGAGTCTGGAAAATATTCTGTAGGACTCAAGCCAGCTCTTAAAATGAGTCATGCTTGTCCACTGTGAAATCTGATATGAACTGCACTGATTAGGAGCAGCATATAAAACACAATGCAGGGACATACTGATGCACGGCCGTAAGGTGAGCAGTGTTTTTCTTTTTTTTAAATAGTGATTTGTCAAGGGAAGGTTTTTGCTGAGCATGCATGCTGTGCTTTTTTTTTTTTTTCAGCCTCACCCTGCTTCACATTCATACAGTTACACTCAGCCGCAGCTGGAGGTTCCCCAATTTAGCCACAGCTCTGTACTACTGGCTGTTGTGTCGGAGCAAGGGCACAAGGGCAGCTCAGAGACAGAACACTCAAAGAGGTTATTTTCATTTAAACCTGGCCTTATTTCTCCCATCGGCCTGGGTATTTTAACAAGTGACGTAGCAGACACAAGGTTGCTTTTTTTTTTTACCTACAGACTCTTGCCAGCTGATGTTCAGCAAAGCAGAGTCATTTAAGTTGATATATAATAATACTTGATAGGATAGATGTAGGAGATTGGGGAATACCATTAGTTGCCCATGAAGAAAACTATGGTTAGTGGTGGAAGACACTTTCGTGGAGGTGTGATTTTTCTAATTTTGGAATTTTCTTGTTATTTCAGCGATGAAAATCAGTGTAACATGACGCGTCTATCTCCATGCTTCTCAGGTTTTACATCAAATCATTTGAATTCCCTTGTTTTGACCTCTGAAAGAGAACTAGCAAGTGTTTGCTGGTTGTGATTAGAGGATAGGATTAGCGAATTTCTACCCAGAACAGGGGTTATTGGGGTTTAAATCTTATTAAGCTGTTTCTTCTCTTCTATGATCTGAGTGACAGACTCCTGTATTATTAGTAAGATTGAAATGGTCGGCGCAAATGTCATATTTTTTCTCTTGAAATTCAGATTTGCAAAGAACGGCAATCTTTTGTCACGTTGCTCAACCACAGTGACATCACATAAGGCAGATCAGTGATGTGATAAAGTCAGTGAGGAAAATTCTAACCGCTTTGTCGTGTGGTGAGAGCCGCCTTGTGTACATCATCACAGCCATACTTTTTTTCCTGTATATTCCTGTACATTTGCTTGTAGAGACGCAGAGATTGTTTTACATTCATTCTAGCATACATGAATGTCACCTTACAAAAACTTGAAACTTGGTTGATGCTGGTAACTCAGCATGGTAAACATTTAGAAGAATGTACTATATTTATTTACTGATATCATTGTGTGTAAGTGGTTTTGGTTATTCATTTGTGAGCACTGCATATTTCGGCTGCCGAACAGCAACCATTTTAATACAAGAATCTATCAAACTTACAAACCGAAAGTCTTGTTTGGCCTCTGGGTTTGATTTTCCAGCAACAAAGAATGAGAATGCCATGTTTTTCTCAACAGCCAGTGATTAAACCTGTAAAAGAATGTAAAAAAACAGCCCCTCTCTACACAGGTTAAACAGTACAGTTTTGGTGATGACCCTTGTCAAACATGGAGACAATGAATAGAAACCACTGGATGTTTGTTAGG